TTCTTTGCCCATTTTTATTTGTTTTATTTTATTTGAGACTGAGTCTCACTCTGTTGCCCAGGCTGGAGTGCAGTGGCACCGTCTTGGCTCACTGCAGCTTCTGCCTTCTGGGTTCAAGTGATTCTCTTGCCTCAGCCTACTGAATAGCTGGGATTGCAGGTGCGCACCAACATACCTGGCTAATTTTTGTAACTTTAGTAGAGAAGGGGTTTCACCATGTTGGCCAGGCTTGTCTCGAACTCCTGGCCTCAAGTGATCTGCCCACCTCAGCCTCCCAAAGTGCTTTGCCCATTTTTAAATAGGATTATTAGTTTTCATGTTATTGAATAGTTTGAGTTTCTTGTATATTTTTGATATTATTATTTTAATTACTGTGTGATTTGCAGGTATTTTCTCCTACACTGTAGGTTGTCTCTTACTGTTGTTTCCTTAACTGTGCAGAAGCTTTTTAGTTTGATGCAATCCTGTTAATCTTCTTTTACTTTCATTGCCTTTGCATTTAGGGTCTTATTCAAGAAGTCTCTGTCTATACCACTGTGAAGGAAGCTTTCCCCCTATGTTTTCTTCTGGTAGTTTTACAGTTTCAGGTTTTGGGTTTATGTCTTCAGTACATTTTAAACTGATTTTTGAATAAGGGATGAAATGATGCCTATTTTCCTTTTGCATGTGGATATCCAATTTTCCCTGAACCATTTATTGAAGATATTGCACTTTCTCCATTGTGTGTTCTTGGCACCTTTGTGGAAGACCATAAATGTGTGAGTTTATTTTTAGGTGCTCTGTCCTGTTCCATTGGTCAGTGTGTCTGTTTTTATGACAGTATCATGCTGGAGTTTTTTTGTTTGTTTTGTTTTTGAGACAGAGTCTTGCTCTGTCACCCAGGCTGGAGTACAATGGCATGACCTCAGCCCACTGTAACCTCCGCCTCCCAGGTTCAAGTGATTCTCCTGCCTCAGCTTCCTGAGTAGCTGGGATTACCAGCCTGGGCCACTATGCCTGGCTAATTTTTGTGTTTTTAGTAGAGATGGGGCTTCACCATGTTAACCAGGCTGGTCTTGAACTCCTGACCTCAGGTGATCTACCACACTCAGCCACTATACTGTTTTGATTACTCTGGCTTTGTGATATATTTTGAATGGTAGTTGCTTAAGATTGCTTTGGCTGTTTGGGGTCTTTTGTGATTCCATATGAATTTTAGGATTGTTTTTCTATTTCTGTGAATTACAGTAGAATTTTGGTAGGGATTGCATTGAATCTTTAGAGTAATACCTTAATTTTGAAAAACATTCTTATCATTTATAAATTCTGCAACAATATTTTATGTGTGTGTGCATGTGTGTTTTCTGGTATTTAAAATTTTAACCTTAGAATACTTAAATGGTAACATCCTTTAAATGCATGTATACATCTTTGGATTTGAAGTCACATTTAAAAAAATGTTTTCTGTTGATCACAAAGAACCAAAGAAATCCTCTGTATAAAGCACTTATCTTTAAGCATAGAGATGATTAGACTTATTATTAAAGCCCTTGATATGCTAGTCTTACCTCTCCCATCAGGTACTGTTGCATGTAAAGTGGTATACAATTTGCATTAAAAGTCACTATATGAAGATCTGGCCACAGCTCATAAAAGTGAAAGAAAACCTCTTGGCATTCAAAGTTTAGTAATTCATATTTTAACCTTTTAATATCTCAGAATATTTCAGGGTAATATGTTAATCTGTGCTTACATCACTACCATCATTTTTGTCCATTCTATCTGGTCTACAAATTAGATGTATTTTATTAGTCTGATATGCTGCCTACTGCCCTAAGGAGGCAACTTAGAAGTATATGATGAACTTTTATTTTTTTCAGTTTCACTTTAGGTTCTGGGGTACATGTGCATGTCATGCAGGGTTGTTGCATAGGTACATACATAACCAGGTGGTCTGCTGCCTCTATTCCCCCTTTGACTATATCTGGCATTTCTCCCCATTTTATCCCTCAAAACATCTTAGAATACCAGAATTTTGTTTTTTTGAGACCTTGTCTTTCTCTGTCTCCCGGACTGGAGTGCAGTGTTACAATCTCGGCTCATCGCAACCTCTTCCTTGGTTCAAGCACTTCCCCTGCCTCAGCCTCCTGAGTAGCTGAGATTATAGGCATGTGCTACCATGCCTGGCTAGTTTTTGTATTTTTAGTAGAGATAGATTTTCATCATGTTGGCTAGGCTGGTCTCAAACTCCTAACCTCAAGTGATCCAGCTCGCCTTGACCTCCCAAAGTACTGGGATTACAGGCGTAAGCCACTGTACCCAGCCATTGTTTTTGATAAACTATTATTAATTTAATCATGGTATGTAGCATATAATATAAAATGGGTTCTGAATAATTTTTCTTTCAGTCCCTTATATAATTTTTGCCTGTCAATGAAAAAGGCTAAAAATTGAAGAATTTTGACTTCGATTTTGAATATATAAGTACTACAAATTAATCAAAACCACATTATTAATATGTCTAGGAATTAAGTCACATTGTGAGTCTGTGGTTTGAGTATGGTTACTGTAGTGGTAGAGTAGAACTAACATTTGTTGATGATCCACTTTATTTGGCCAAGAGCTTTCATATATTTTCTAATTTAGTTTTTTATAACATCATGAATATTGGTATTTTATTAATTTTATATACCTGAACTTCAACTAAAATAATTTAAGAAATTAACAAAACAAGGTTGCTATACTTGAGTACCTTAGATCAGAATCAAAATTTATATTCTTCCATACACCACGTTGTTTTCCATACTATGCAAGATACATAATTTATACATGCTGGTAAATACTTTACCACTATGTTGCTTTCTCTAAGCTGTTGTTATTGCCCTTCCTGGAAGGATATTCTATAGAATTAGAAGGGAAAAATAAAATTCAGTTTTGTGTACTACAGTCGACAGAAGTTTCTTTCAAAACAGCATGAAGTGCCAAGCATGGTGCCTCATGCTTGTAATCCCAGCACTTTGGGAGGCCGACACAGGTGGAACACCTGAGGTTAGGAGTTCAAGACCTGCTTCACCAACATGGCAAAATCCCATCTCTACTAAAATACAAAAAATTAACCGGACGTGGTGGCAGATGCCTGTAATCCCAACTACTCGGGAGACTGAGGCAGGAGAATTGCTTGAACTCGGGAGGCGGAAGTTGCAGGGAGCCAAGATTTCACCACTGCACTCCAGCCAGGGCAACAGAGTGAGACAAACAAACAAACAAACAAACAAAACCACAGCATGAAGAATTGATATAGTAGTCCCATCTTATCTGTGGTTTCTTTTTCCATGGTTTCAGTTACTTATGGTCTGAAAATACTAAGGGAACCATTTCAGAAATAAACAGTTCCTAAGTTTTAAATTGCATATTGTTTTGAGTAGTGTTGTAATGAAATTTTATGCCATCTTGCCTAGGGTATGAACTGACTGGCTAGAGAGATCCATGCTGCATATTCTACCACGACTTTTTCACTACTTACAATTTAAATAATACAATAATAATGATTTTTTAAAATTATTATTATGAGACAGGGTTTTGCTCTGTCATCCACACTGAATCACAATCACAGCTTACTGCAGCCTCTACCTCCCAGACTCCAGCTGGGTTTCACCATGTTGGCCAGACTGGTCTAGAATTTCTGGGCTCAAGTGATCTGCCTATCTTGGCCTTCCAAAGTGCTGGGATTACAGGTGTGAGCCACTGCACCCAACTGGGGCTAATTTTTAATTTTTTTGTAGAGACGAGGTCTCACTATATTGCTCAACCTGGTCTCGAACTCCTGGGCTCAAGTGATTCTCCTGCCTCGGCCTGCCAAAATGCTGGGGTTACAGGTATGAGCCACCATGCTGGGCCCAATAACTATCTTGATTAACTGTGTAGTAATCTGTAACAATCCTTGGGCAGAGATCCAATGCTTTACAAACTAAAAGAGCATTTCAAAATTTTTCTGAAGTTTTTTTTTTTTGTAGTTTGACAGTATAAATAATGTATTTGAGGCCCTCCTTCTGAAACATTGCAGTAATATTTTTTTAATTTATGTAAGATTTCAAACATACAAGCAGTAAAATTATGCTTAACAAATAATTTCAGATAACATTAAAGCTCCTGATACAGTGGTGCAGAAATCTAGATGATGCCATTTGTATTAAAATCTATATCAACAGTACCCAGTGCTCTGTGCAGATGTACACTACTATAACAGCAGAGCTCTGTCCTATTTTATTCTTCTTTTACTCATTTTCTTTTCTCCCCTTCTAGCTTCCCACTGAGGTAATTACCATTCTGAATTTGGTGTTTATCCTTTCCGTGCTCATTGTATTATTTGTATTAATTGTGTCTATTCATAAATAGTGGGTAGAGTTGTTTTACTTTGAAACGTGCTATTTTTGCCAACATTTTGTGTTTAAGATTTGTCCATCTGTCCATAGTCAAGTCATTTTAAATGCTGGGTAGTATTCCATTCTGAATGTACTTTATTTATTTCTGTTAATGTTGATGGACATTTGGGTTATGTCTAAGCTTTTGCTATTATAAGCAATTCTGCAGTATTTTTATACATGTTTACATTTACATATATGCATGCATTTCTCTAGGCTACATACCAAAGAAGGGATTTGCTCGGCTAGGCCTGTCTTCAATTTCAATAAACGTTGCCAAATTGCTCTTCAAATGGTTGTAGAAATATATCTGCCTATCTGGAACATGTATGAGAGTTTTCTTTATTTCACATGTTCTTTATTACAACATTTGCTATTATTAGATCTTTAAATTTTTGCTCTTTTTAGGGGTTTGAGGTGGTATCCCAGTTTTGCAGTACCTATTATTAAAAATAATATTTTCTGAATGTATTAATTGATACTAATTCAGTTTAATGAGCAGTCCTTAAAATAACAGTTGCTTATGGCTTTTACTTTTGCTAAAGGTATGTATTTCTCCTTTATTTTCTATGATTGATTGTGTGTCATATATTTTGGTAGCTCTGGTTGAAGAAGTGTATTTTGCACAGAAGGAACGTGATGAAGCTGTTATGTCTAGACTGCAATTAGCCATTGAAGACAGAGATGAAGCAATTGCACGAGCCAAGCACATGGAAATGTCTCTAAAAGTGTATGTACTGTACACATTTAAAACTCTCTATGATATTAGGAACATTTATAAAAGGCTTGCTTTATGTGATAGTTACATATTCAAAAATGTGACTCATGTGTTAAACTAGGAAACTGCATATCTCCAGTCTTTTTCTAAAACCTTTAGCATGTTAGTTTGCCGGTCAGGAATAGCAGTCAATTTAGAAAAAGAAAGAAAGGAATGCACATCACTCTCAACAAAATTACTTTCTTTATTTCTTCATAGTTTGTTGTTCCTTCCTATGTGACTCCTTTTATTATTATCTCCTCTTCTCCTCATTATCACTTTTTAAATTTATTTCAGCTATCTGAGTCTTTCACTGCTCTTTGCTTAATATTGCTGTTTCTGTTCTTTACTACTTTTTACTTGCAGTTTTTTTAGCTTTGGTTTTTGAACTTTAGTGATACTTGGAGTAGGATGGAGCCTAAGAATACACTTTTTTTTTAACAAGCAACCCAGGTGATTCTGATAGGTAAATGATGTATTACAGTTAATGAAACAATGCCGTAGACATATATAATTCTCAGATTTTAATGTGCAATCCGATCACTTGGGGGATCTTGTCAGAATGCAGATTCTGGTTCATTAGGTTTGGGTTGGGACAAGAGATTCTGTCCTTATAACAATCTCCCAGATGTTACTCCTGATGCTAGTCTAAGGAATTGGCTTTGGATAGAAACACCCTAGAACATCTAGAATATGTTACCTGCACAGATAGATAGAATGCAGTAATCTAATATTTAATGATGATCAATCAGCATACTTATGGCATGTTTACTTTGTCCAGTGTTGTACTAGGCTCTTTGGAGGAACAGAGTAAAGTACTAATTAAAACATGGTTCATTGGGGAGACAAAAAGCCATAAATAATAATATGTGTTCAAGTTGTGATTAGGTAATATTTGTTTTTTGTTTAAATTAATGACTTTGTGTTTTTTGAAGATTGATAGGCTCATTATAGAGCATCAAACTCACTGGAAAAACAAATAAAGAAACAAAAATTTCACCTAAATTCCACAATGCCTATTCCAGAATAACCATCTTTATCTATAGGGGAACATTATTTCAAACATTTTCTCTTATATACTTAAAAACCATTACCTAGAAGGATAGATGGCTTGCCATTGATTGGAGGTAGTCATAGAATTAATTGATTAAAAATCAAGTAATTCTCTACATGCTGTATTTGAGAGGCAGTGTAGTGTAGAGGTTAAGAGCACAGATTCTGGATCCAATCTATTCTTGAATATTGGGTTTGCTGCTTCCTTGCTGTATAGTCATGGACAAATTACCCGAAGTCTACAGGGCTCAGATTTTTGACCCACAAAATGTATATAATAGTGCAGTTTATGAGGACTTATACAGGTTGTAATGAGGACTAAATTACTTATTGACTATGTATGTATATATGTAAAATATATATAAAATTAAAAGATGTATATGTACATGTTGTTTGTTTGTTCAGAGACAGAGTCTTGCTATATCACACAGGCTGGAATGCAGTGGTGTGATCAGAGCTCATTGCAGACTTGAACTGGACTCAAGTGATCCTCCTACCTCAGCCTCCCAGGGAGTTATGGCTGCAGGGACTTTAGAAACATGCCACCATGCTTGGCTAATTTTTAAAGTTTTTTGTAGAGATTGGGTCTCACTGTGTTGCCCAGACTGGGATCAAACTGTAGGCTCAAGTGATTCTTTTACCTTGGCCTCCCAATGCCCTGAGATTACAGGCATGCGTTATTGCACCCAGCCAAATCACTAAATATTGAAAAGTATGTGGCTCATGGTGAGTACTATGTAAGTGTTAACTTGAATTTAAGAGTAATAGTCAATTGAAATGAAACTGAAGAAAATTTTGAACTTCATGCAGTATTTTCTCTCAATAGCTATATTAATTTTCTAAACACCCTTCTAATATTAAGAAATGAGACTGAAAAAAATTAAGGTGTTGGAGTCATCAACATTTTTTTCTTTTTCTTTTATTTTATTTAATATATATTTATTTTTAAAAATTGAACAGAACCACATTTTGCCATGTTGCCCAGGCTGTTCTCCAACTCCTGGACTCAAGTAATTTGCCCGCCCAGGCTCCTAAAGTGTTAGGATTACAGGCATGAGCCACAAGGCCTGGTCAAAATTTTCTCATTATTGTTTCAGTTAACGATATCATGTAACACTCAGGTATGGATTGACCTTAAAAGAAGAAGTTGAAGTAAAATTAATATAAGTAGAGAGTTTACTGGGGCCAAGCATGAGGATTGCAGCCTGGGAACGTAGATCCACATTGCTCTGAAATACACTTCTATTAGCAGGAGTTATAAATGGACTTTTTTTTTTAAGTTTTAAAGTTTTGGTTTTTTTTTAAATTTAAATAGAGATGGAATCTTGCTATGTTGCCCCAGCTGGTCCCAAACTCCTAAGCGCCAGCAATCTGCCCACCTTAACCTTCCAAACTGTTGGAATTACAGGTGTTAGGCATGGCACCTGGCCAGGAGTGAATTTTTAAATGCAAAAAAGAGAGATAGGCAGTGGGTTGATACAAAGTTTGTCAGGAACTGTAATTTTATAATTAGTGATTGGCTATAAGCTATAGGGTATGAGTCATAGTGTCTGGTATAACATTATTAGGTTGATTTATAGCTGCTTGTGGCAATAGCAGGCTCACACTTGTAATCCCAGCACTTTGGGAGACCAAGGTAGGAAGTTTGCTTGAGTCCAGGAGTTCAAGATCATTGTGAGCAACATAGTGGAACCCCACTTCTATAAAAATATATATATTTTAAAAAGTTAGCCTAGCCTGGTGATAAACTGCTATAGTCTCTGCTACTTTATAGGCTGAGGTAGGAGGATCACTTGAGCCCTAGAGATAGAGGCTGCAGTGAACCTGTGATTGATTGTGTCTTTGCACTCCAGCCTGGGTGACAGAGCAAGATCCTCTCTCAAGAAAAAAAAATATAAATGAATACTAACTCATAGGGCGGCAAGTAGGACATAATTGCAGTCTTCATTTTCATTCTTTATGGGCCTGATAATTAAAAGGGCTTGCATTCCTCAGATTAAGATTCTTTTCTCATATAAAAGAAAGAAATAAGCACATTAAAACTCTGCTTTTTTCATTATGAATTTCACATTAAGAAATCTGTAAAAGTTATATTCATTTCTTTAGCCATGTTAGTTTTTCTAGCTAAAGTGTGCCCTGTTGTTTAATCTTAACTTTAAAAGGATTGAATAATCATTGCTGGAACTTTCATCATAGATGGCATTTTTATCCCTGAGTTTTTTATTGTGGAGAATCCTTGGGTGTGTCAGTGGAAACAAAAACACAAACTCAAAGTGCTTTTTTCTTTTCTTACTTAACACAACAATCAAAATGGAAGCCTCTTTTTGACCAAATGTGTAGTTATTTCACCCACACATCAAACAAGTAATCAGTTCTGCAGTGGACACCAGCTGGGTATCCTCCAATTAAATTCATACACTATCTACCTGGAGAAAACCTCAGATCCCATAGGTTGAGGGCTCAGTCTCACAAGACTGGCCCTGCTTCAGACAAAAATCTTAAGTCCAGCCCTCTGTAACTTCTGACTAACCAGCTTCAAGTTAGGGTTCATATATTCCCCTCTTTGGGTTCAATTAATTTGTTATTGCAGCTCACAGAACTCAGGGAAACTTACTTACATTTACCAGTTTATTATAAAGGTTATGACAAAGGATACAGATGAAGAGATGCATAGGTGAAGGTATAAGGGAAGAGATGCAAAACTTCCATGCCCTACTTGGGTACAGCACCTTCCAGGAACCTCCACATGTTCAGCTATCAGGATGCTTTAGGTACTCTGTTCTTTTGGGTGTTTTATGGAGGCTTCATTACATAGGCATGATTGATTAAACCATTGGCCATTGGTGATCAACTTAACTGTTAGCCCCTCTGCAGAGGTTGGGGGTTGAAACTCAAAGTTACCACCTTTTAATCATGCAGCCTTCCTCATGACCAGCCTCCATCCAGAAGCTATCTAAGGGCTGCCAGCTATCAAATAATGATTAGCATACAAAAAGATAGCACTTTGGAGATTCCATGTATGTGAGGAAAAGGGTGGGGGAGTGGAATGATGACCAAATGTATATTTCACAATATCACAGCAGGTGACTGAATTTCACTTTCAAAGGAAGAGCACATAAATACCTTATTCTCTGATTTAACATGCTTCAGATTGGCTGTTATCATTGTATTCAAATTTTTAAGAATGTAATTCTTGAGTCAAGTATCTCTTTATTCTGAACATTATAAGAATGTTACTCTCTTGTCTTCTGACAGTGTTTGCCTGAAAAAAAGTCTTGAGATCAATCAGATTCCCCATCTCCTTGTGTGTGGGGGGGGATTTGTTTGTTTGTTTGTTTTTTGAGATACTGACTGGCTCTCTCACCCATGCTGGAGTGCAGTGACATGATCTGAGCTTACAGCAACCTCTGCCTCCTGGGTTCAAGCTATTCTCCCACCTTGGTCTCCCAAGTAACTGAGACTGACTAATTTCTGTATTTTTAGTAGAGGTGGGGTTTTACCATGTTGGCCAGGCTGGTCTGGAACTCGTGACCTCAAGTGATCCACCCGCTTCAGCCTCCCAAAGTGCTGGGATTACAGGCATGAGCCACCGTGCCTGGCTCTGTGTGTATATGTTTTTGTCGGTCTTTTTTTTTTTTTTTTTTTTTTTTGTCAGATAACCTGAGGATTCATCCTTTATTCATGAAGTAGAGCTGAATCAGGGCAATTGTGTCCATCATTTTTTAATAAGGTTTTGGGGACCACAGCATGCCTTTTAAAGGACTATTTCATTCTTCCTTTATTTCATGGAAATTTTACCTTTTTCTTTTTTTTTTTTCAAAGAAATTTAACTTTTAAGTTTGGAGGTACATTTGCAGGTTTATTATATAAGTAAACTTGTGAGATTTTTTGGTATAGATTATTTTATCACCCAGGCATTA